ACATCTTTCTACATCTGTGGCATGATAATTTTGAAACATAATGAAGACTAGGGATGTTATACCACTGTTAATTGTTCCTTCTGATTTATAGTTACTTCACATGCAGAATAGACAGTGGTATCCTAGGGTCCCATTTATTAGTGTGAAAGGACCCCATGGAACACAAAATAGAAACACAAATCACATTGGAAAAATGTGGGTTAGAGCTGCACAGCTATTGAGGTTAAATAAAATTGTTTATAAAAATATTATTTAACTGCTGGTTTCAAAAGCACATTTTACAGTTCAACTTACACCTATGAACTAGGAGAATATAATGTCTATTACTGAGGAAAAGCAGGTAACCAATTGAGACAGTAGTAGGGAAGAAGGTGGAATCTGAATCCTGTCTCCCTTTACTTCATTATAGTTGTTAAATTTACCATCTATTCAGCAACAAAGCAATCCTGGTTTCATTTCCTTGTTCAAAAGCTTCATGCAGACAAAAATCCACAAAAATACCTAAAGGCTGATTTGTAAAATTAGATTTTAAAAAATATTTTTATGTGATATAATCCTCTTATCTGTGTAGTAATGACATCACTTAGATGATCATGCATCTTGCCCGTTCTGCAGCAAATAAGCAGTTTTTCATTGTTGTAAAGTTCTTCAGCCTTTTTTCCTTAAAGATAATATAGTCTGTCTGTGCAGACTGAACTTGGAGATTTATTTTTCTGTTTGTTTATGTGTTAGTGCTCATAATCAATGACTGTCTTCGGACTCAGTTTTGTAGATTAATTAGATTATGTCTCTCCCAGTTCAGCAAATGTACAACTAGGTTACTGGTTTGGACAAGTTTCCCAAGTTGGGCTCTTTCCTGTATTGCAAACAGCCATGAAATTGTTCCTGTGCTGGCACCACTGTCCAAGGAAATTCAGCTCTTACTTACTACCTTGTTCCAGCCTGTTGCATTCAAGGGGTCAGTGTGGCTTATCTGGGTATGAACCATCACAGTACCAAAAGCTCAGAGAGGAGTTCCTCTGTCCATATGTTGCTGTGATCAAATGTTACCGAGCTTCAGGCTCTTTATTTTTCATGTTTGTTCATTATCTGGCTTGCAGTTTTTGTGGCATCTGAAGTTGTTTCAAATTATTACTGTAATTTAGACTTTTTATGCATGTGTTAACTTAGTTTTGCTCCCTTCTGTGTCTCTTTCTCTGCACAGTGTGCTTCCGAGTGCTGTTCAAACCCACCTGATGCATGTCCTCTGGGCTCAAACTTAGTGGTTCTTCAAATAGCAAGGAGAGGGGGTTAAACAGCCTAGTGCTGAACTTTTTTCCTGCATAGGAGGCTCTGACTGAGTGGAGTCATTTCACTTTACAGACTTCAGGAAGGGGAAACAAGTTGCCCTGACTCAGAGATGTCCTCAGGACAAATACTGCTTGGCAGCAGTTTTCATAGTTCGGAAAGGGAGATGGACAATGCAGAAGGGCATTCCAAAAGACAATTTAAACATACAGAATTTAGAATAGTCTACAATAGTAAATAATAGCAATATTAATGTATCCATAGAAATATAAGCAATATATAAAATTTTGCTACTTTGGATAATTAGAGAAATTAGGTTTTAATCTGTTTTTCTAATCAATATATTTTGAGTACAGCTAACAGTAAGTTACAGAACACTGTGGATATCAGAAGCCAAAAACATAGTAACTACATTAATAAGACCTATTGTATTAATATATGATAAGGTTCAAATTATCTTGTTTTGCCCATTTTTAATTCTATGTTTGAATTTGCAAACATGAGGATTCGCAAAATTCCTACAATACTTCAAACTTCTTCAGTAGCTTTTAGTATTTTTGCATTTATAATCATCTTCTCTTGGGATTACATTATCCCTGGGCAGTGACTGCTTTTGTTTGAAAGAAGAGTTGCAAATGTCAGAAACCATACACTGTGAGAAATAGGAGCAGAAGCTGTTGTGTTATCTGTTAATTGGATATAGAGTTGAAAGATATTTCTTTTCTTCCATTTTAATGTCTTGTTTGTGCTGAGCAAAAAGAGCTCTACAGCCTTGTGGGTTATGTTAGAAGCTAGACACGTGTGTCCTTTCACTGTGCACTGAAGTGTTCTATGTAGCATAGTTAAATAACATTGAAAAAATTACTTTTTTTGGTAATGAAAATGGAGATATATCCTGAATCATGTGAAGTTATAAGCCTACCTTTGTGAATAGCCAAGATAGACTGGTGTTCTGTTGTTATGACTTCCCTTTTTCACACACAAAATTTTTATCAAAGCGTTGAGAAATACAGTGTCCTGTTTCAAACAATATAAAGATGACAGAATTAACAGTTATGTATACCAAAAGATTCCATGTAGTGCCTTCCACATGGAACTGCACAGCCAAGGCCACAGTACTGAATTATGCATGACATTTTTAATGGTGGAACAAAAGGAGTAGCAGAAGGAAATTCAGCAAAGTACGTGCTGACTTCACTGGTTATTAGGCACTAGTGCCTATACATGCAAATCCCAAGATACTCTTTATTGAAACTCTGGTGCTGTGCTATACAAATCAAAGCTGTATGAAAGTCATACCTAATGAGGGAAGAATAAATAACAGGAAAACTCTGACAAAGGGAAGTGCAGAATGCATACCGACTTATTGTACTTTAGAGAGTGAGAAATAAAGTTCTTACATTTGGCTGGATGCTGAAGGTATCAGCTACTGTAAATATTTACTTTACAATAATTGAAAGGATTAGTCTTATTTGTTAGTCCACAGTGATGATGCCTCTCACTGTCTATTCAGTGAAAACTGGGAGAATATAACTAAAATTATTTACAGAAGAGCTGCTGCATTTTAAGAGGAGCTTCATCTGAAGTCAGTTCATTGAAATTCTGTACCCTGTTAAATTTATTGCTTACACACATTTTATATTGAAGCCAAATACTTGGTGTCTGAAAGTAGAGACTGACTTAACAGACCTGCTCTGTAGGTTTTTGAATATGCAGAAGGTTTCACTGAAAAAACTTTGTAAGGATTCTGTTTCAGTATTGATTTTCTTCCCCAAATTCCCCAACCGCTACACTAAGCATTTCTGAGCCTTTGGCAATAGTAGTACTAACATAGATCAAGATAACTTCTTCTAGGCCAGAATATAAAAAAATTTGAAAATATTATGTTGTAAAAAATTATTTCTGCTTACTTGACCCTTTCTGGTTTTTGAGAAGAGGTTGCTGCTTGTCAATGCTGTCAGACTTGAAGCCAGCACCACTTTGGTGATACCAGGATGCTTGATCCATCCATGCAGGATGTTGTATTTTTACCTAGGAAAGGACCCACCCCAGGACTCCCAGTCCTCTTCACTTCTCATATACAGACTTGACCCTGCATAGAGGTCCCCACCACTCCCCTCCCCTTACTTGTGCAGTTCAGCCATTTCTCACCAACTCCCTCCTTACCAGCCTGGAGAATCCAGCAGTGCCTTGCAACACTGTCTGTAACATCTGCCAACCACTTATGTTGTTGCCTGTCACAAGCAGCAATTTCTTATGTCAGGTTCAACAGTTTTCCATGTCTTGATGCTTCCCTTAACCTCTGACCAGGTCCTGATGAGTGCCCTTAGTGTTGGCCTGCAGGCTAAGAACTGGCTTCTTGACCATTGTAACCACCTATTATAAGATTACTCATCGCACAGATGTGAAATGGTGTGTGTTACTGGAGGAACTTGTTGGGAGAACAATAAACTCATCAAGTTTATTGGTCCTTCTCTGGAAAATTGAGAGTGTAAAACTCTGTTCCCAAGTTGACTTCATTGAAATCAAATGCACCAAAAAAGTTCCTCACATTTTTCTCCTTCAACTGCAGAATTTTTTTAAGAGTTACAATGCTATGAATATTTCATGATAGACAAAACTGCCTGAGACCTGAAACTTAGTGAAAAAGAGAAATGAAGGAAAGCTTCAAGGGGGAACATCCCAGAAAGAAGCACAAAGAAACAGTTTACTAACAAGCCAGGGTTGAAAATACTTGAAAAAGTAAAAACATTGCCATAGTCACAGTGCTGCTTTCCAGATATGCAAAGACTGGGAAATAAAAAAAGGGAAAAAGTATTTTTAGTATTTTTCAATGCATGAAGACTTAATGTTAAAGGTCATCCTGTTGTACTAAGCTCTGTGGTATTGCCAGCAGGTATTGCTATATCACCAGCAGTTTAGTGCAGACTTGATTATTGGTATTTTGATAGTCAAACTCTGAAGGTGTAACTCAATTTCAGGCTCTCTAGCATCTTCCCATTTTTAATACTCAATTTTCAAAGCTATGATGTGTTACTACTATTGTCAGTGCTACTGTCAATTTGTCTTGGCTTCCCTGCATGGAGTTTATTTTTATTTATTTTTTTTCTGCAAGTCACTGTGTACACTCAATTGGTTGCTATTTTAACAAGATCTCTGGAGAACTCCTCAATGATTATGCATGTTAAGAAAAAAGGCAGAAAGCAATTTACTACCAAGCAGATACCAGATGAGTGGGCAAGAGTCCTGAGCTGAAAAACCTTAAACATGGAAACAGCTTGTTAGCATATGCTTGTGCCACACTTAGAACACATAATGAGAACAAGATCAGAGGCAAAGTTATCTCCCTGGAGTCAGTAGCAAGATTTGATATCACAGAAGTGATCACTTTTTCCCTTGCGTTACTTGTGGGTCACTTAAATGCATTTCTAGCATTGCAATTGCGGTGTATATTTTCCTAAAAATGCCTCTTGAAATATTTATAAAGTATATTTTAAAAGTGTAACTTTGTTCCAATTTTTCATCTATTTTTTTACCACAAGACATTCAGATTCAGCTGGGAAAGAAGTACTGAGAGTAGAACTACTTCCATATGTGCTCTCCAAAGACAAGTGCTCCTCCATGTTTTTTATGTTCTTAAGTAGAATCTTGATGTGGTTGTAAATGTTAAATGAAGGTGATGTTTTGAGACATACAATCTTTTCTGTTTCCAGGTGGGCCATGCACAGGTACAGCTCATGCCTCGTTAACCACACCAACCAAAAGATCTTGTGACTCAGGTAGGTGTTTTGCGGGGTCAAGAAATTAGGTTTTGCATTATATTAAGCAGTTATAGTTTAATAGTAAAGGGTAATAACCATACCTGGCAAATGCCAAATGAAAATAAATAATTGTTGGTTTGCTGCTAGAAATGTATATATAAAAGGATTAGTATGGCAGATAGTTCATCTGAGAATCCTGTTAAATATAATTCTATAAATACACTCTGTTTTCAGTTAATCTTTGTGAAAACAAGACATACAGGAGTAATCATTTGTTTAAGTCTAATAATTGTGATAGTGTTCTGGAAATCTTGCCCTTGAAATGCAAAGTATTGAGTAGAAAACTGTTCTGAGTACATTGACTGTACCTGATTGAAGACACAGTATAGACAGCTGATCTTTGGGACTAAATTTTACTTGCTTTGGGTCCTTTGATGCCTTTATTTCTATATGTAGGATGTATATGGATAATTTCTCACAGAGCTGGTATTAGGAGCAACATGTTAAGTCATTGCCAGGCTGAAGTCGCTGCTTCTGAATCAGATCTGTCCTGAGAAACCACACGTGCACTCATTCAATCAGGCAGCAGTACCTGCACTGGCTCAGGTCTTCTGCAGGCTTTGGTTTTGTGTGGATTATGGAGGACTCACACAATTCTTTCCACCAGGACTACTGTTGGAAGCCATAATCTCCTGTAGAGTGGTGGGTGTGTAGGTAGTGGCAATGTTCTTGCAGCCTGTGTTTCCAAAATAATTTTTGCCTATATTTGAATTTATGTGCAGAAAGGAAGGGTATTCCAGTTTGAGTAAAGGGCTCTTGCTCTTTAAGGAGTTCAAGGGAAATTTCCTCTGAAGTAATTCTTTCAAAAAGTCTTTCAAGTTACTGTTTGAGCTGAACTGTAGTTATTCCATAGGTGAATGTTGTTAGCTTGCAGCAGATGTGTGGTGATACAAGTTGGCTTGTTCTGCAGTGAAGGAAGATTACAGAGAAGCTGCATTACCTTGCTCTTGGTGCAGGTGCAGATTTCTCAAGTAGCACATGATAATCTGTGACAGTGAGTGGTTTTTGTCAAAGAACTGAATTTGAAACTGGAAGATAGTTCTTCAAAACAGGGAGACTGGATTTTCTTTTCTGTGGAGCCATGGACATGTATCTAAACAAGATGGAATGTTTGCCAATATATACCCTGAAAACTAATCTGTTTGCTCATGGCATTTCTAAATTGTATTTTCCTTATATGTTAGCTGTTGTAATGTTTAGCTGGTTTTCATGGCAGTGTAATTTAAAAGCTTACTGTGGTACTACAGATACAGTAACCAGAGTACTGCTGGAAATTTTTGTGTGCATGCTTAGCAAAAAGAAATGTAAGTTCATTATTTGGAATGTGAAGTAGCACTAATAAAAGATCCTTGGAGTAAAGCAGATGAAACCACAAGACATACTGAAAAATTTGCACAGTAGTTATTTTATTTTCAGTTTGTACTCTTGTTTGGTCTGTGCATGCTTGTATGTTTTTCATTTAATGTGTTTTGCAAGAAAAGGAGGAGATTGCCTTAATTTGATACCACAACTTTAATCTTCGGACAGCTAAATCTACTAATTTTGAATTACCTCAATTTCCCCTGAGGTTCTTACATTATTTGCTCAGAAATCTACATATTATCTGTATAGTCCCTTACATGAATGAGCCTGGTACCAAGAGTTAGTTTTCTTCTCCAGATCTTGAATTTTCAGCAAACTTTAATTTTTAAAATAAATTACCATGTTGTCATGGGAATTGACAAAAAAAACATTGGCTACAAAATATTACCCAGAAGTGCTGTGACATCTTCAGGCATGAGCAGCATACTGTGTAGGTGAACATTTGTCAGGGTTTAACCACGAGGCCAAAACATAGCTTCATTATCTACTGTGAAGAAAATTAACTCTATCCCTGCCAAAACCAGCAAATTGTTTCACACTACAATCACTTCAGCTTCCCAGGAAGCTACTTAAAGTATGCAAGCAGTATTTGTCAACACTACACATTGTTTAAAGCCTATTTTCTGTAAGTATCCTATGTTTCTTTTTCTTGGAAGAGCTTTGAGGAAAAAATGTTGTATTGGATTTTATCTGTGTAATTCTGTTCACCCTTCAAACATAGTTTTTCCCCAAAGTTCCCTAGATCAGCATTTGAGACAGAAAATTAGAAATTTGACCTACTTATTTTATATGTAAGTTTCCATCAGAATGTTGAGGAAGGAGACAAACCTTTCATATTTTATCAGCATGAGTGTAACAATTGAAGAAAGATCAAAACAATAAATCTGCCAAGGTAAAGGAAAATTCTCGTAGACAAAAAAGAGGTTTTACCTAAGGTACTTGTCTACCTGCATGCTGTAAGAGCTGTTCTGATAAAAAATAGTATTATGACACCAAATAGTGGGGTTTTCCTCCTGTTCACCATAGTCGTCACTGTGGTAGAAGTATTTCTATTCCAGTGTACCCACAGGACAGGGATTATAATGAAAAAAATAAATAAAGTCTTGCAGTCATTAGTTTGGATGGTGCCTCAAAGGCTTCTGAGTGCTGGCAGTCTGAGGATTTTGTAGGAAGAATGATGGGACTGTATGGCCCAGTGTATAGCTTCTTATGCATTTTGATTTGTTTCTTAATGGTTGGGTAATATGATGATTGATGGCAGGTACTGGGAGGCTTCCTCTAGTACTGGGCATCCACATCCCATTTCTATAAGGTGCCCATGTTGGGAAAGTGCAATAGCAAGTAGCATCTTGTTTTTCTGCTGTACAACTTTAATGATGATTTACTACACAATCTGTAAACAACCAGATTTTATAACATTTTTATGCAGCTTAAAGAAACCTGGAAAAAATTGATGGAACTGTGTGAGTGTGCTCAATTAATTTTTAATTGTGCAGTAGAGAAGATGGTGGAAACAGACTGATAAAATGTGTAACGATACAATCAATTCATACATTATATCCATAAAGTTGGTGAGGTTTTAAGTACTTTATTTCTCAGTAGCAGTTCATCAGAGATGTGCATCTGTAATATTTTGTATAGTTATATGTGTAGATAGCTCACATTTTATGAGAGTATCTGTTGTAGATTGGTGTGGTGGTGTTTATATTGTACAAGATGAGAATCTGTCTCTTTTCTCTGTATGTTTTCTAATTTAAAAATTGAGTCTAGATGATTGAAATAATTATTTCACTGCTTGAGTAAAGTGGTTAAACAGGGCTGTGGTCCTTTATGAAGTTTCAAATTTATTGATGTTCTTGTACTAAGATATGTGCTTACTTGTAACAGTGCCTGGAATCCAAATGCATTGAGGTTGAACCTCCACAATTGAGAGGACAGCCTTTGAGGAGTTATAGGAAGGTCAAGTTGTGCAAATAGAATTACACAGTTTTTGAGCCTGAGCTAAAACCATGAAGTCATTGCATTGATAAGATCATTTTTTTAATCAATCCTTATGTGTTGAGTAAGGACAAAAGGACCTCATACACCACTAATTAAATTTTCTTTTTTAATTGCTCTAAAACGTTAATAAGCTCCTGAGCAAAAAATACACAGAAGATTACTGAAGAGGCCTTTATAGCACTAAACTAACTTTGAGGTCTGTTTTTCAAGTGACTATTAAGGTGTTCTTTAGTGTTTGACTTCTGGAGGGCATTGTGTTGAAATCCAGCCTTCTTGGAGCTCTTTCACCAACAGGAAAGTGATGATAGAACAGCCTTTGAGCAGTATAGTAAATCACCAAGCCCTAGCAATAATAGTGCCCATTAGGAACACTCTTCCCCCTCCCTCTGCTCAGTTTCCAGCTGCACTAATAGAGCAGCACATCAAGCAAAGCTGTAAATAAAAGTTACAACCTAATAGGTGGGTGCTGAAGTGGAACGGACAGGAGCTGAGGCATGGAGGCCTTATTGCTGCTGATCAGCAATTACAAACAGGATGAAGTGCCTGGGACTGGCACTGATGTGCCAGGATAGAGGATAGAGGCTGGGAGATGACGCTGTGCCATGATCAGATGATGTATGGTAATGGCTTTTTACTGCCTCAGCTTATTGCCTAGTTCTATGATATGCTGGATTATCTGTTCTATGCTCCCATATCTATCTGGATGGACAGATTGGTTTCCTCTCCTCCTGGTTATCTAAGAGCCTTCTCAGTGTTATGATTATTGTAGATTAAAATCCTCCCAGTTGTTAAGGATCATAATAAGTCATAGCAGTAAATGCAATTAAGGACTTGCTCTAATTTTATGATTTATTTCCACTATCACCTTTCTCAGCTTTACAAAGCCACACTTGTTCATTAAAAATAGTGTCTATGGCTGACCTGAACTTTCTTTGACACTGAAGGCATCCTATGATTTTAGACTAATTGAGTTAGATGGAGAATCCAAAGTGATGATTTTAGCATCAATACATCAAAAAGTTTGTTAAAAGTCAACTGTAGCTATGATGATTCTTGCCTCTGAGTTTAGAAATTTCAGCTGTTTCTCAGATGGTTTATAAGAGCTTGTTAGCACACAATAATTGGTAATATTTTTTTTTTTTGTAAAAAAATCTTTCTTGATTTTTATCTACCACAGTTTAGCACATTTCTGTGCTAGACATCTAAATCATCGCTTTACTAAACTGCAGTACTGCAGTGAAAAAAATGCCTTGAATTTTAGTCCCTATTTGCTTTGAACTAAAGACATTTTTCAACCATCTTCATAGTTCCTACATTAATCACTCATACTGTTTACTTTTGAGGAGAATTTTCTTCCAACTAGTGGAAAAAACACAGCATTCAGAAACGAAGAGGTGTGCAGCAGCTTGACAGCATATGAAGACAGTGACTTCTGTCCGTGTCTATTCAGTACAGACAGGATAAAATGAATAGATTATTTTTCTATCATATGGTATTACAACAGGAATACTTTTGCTGCTGTGTTAAAAGTACACTAAACTAAGATGAATGGAAACTTTTCACAGTATTACTTTGAAATTAACTTTCACTTCATG